GGAAAAACCATCAGTTACAATTCGGGAACTATCAAGTTACACACAGATTGATAACACTAAACATTACTTAAAAAAATATATTGATGACTCTCAGTTGCATTCCGTAGATCATGTAGTTCTTTTTTTTTATCATAAATGATAATTTTGTTAAACAAGTACAAGGATTATTTAAATGCATTGCAATTAATCTCATACTATATAACATTTCTTCCCCTCATAAAAAAAATCTCTCTATTTTTGTCATCAGCAAAAATTATTTCATTGTTGGCGTACAAGAGCTACCATCCTTTACTGACAGACCCTAAACCAGACAGAATTCCTTATCAATCCACACCCCAAGAAGGAAAACAAAACACCAACGACCTGTTGGTCCGAGTGGAAGGAGTTCGGTTTCCCTTAAACAAGATCTCGAGTTCGAGTCTTGTGAATGGAGAAACAGGCGCTGGAAGAGCTTTCCCCCTATTAGGGTCCGACGCGGTTCGATTCCAGATTAGTTGGGACCTAAAGTGGTTACCGAATACTGGAAGGTTAATACCAAAAAAAAAAACAAGGAAAACAAAACAGAAGCCAAATAAACTTACGCGAAGCACAAAAGCACCCCTTTTACTGCTTAATGCTGGTTGTGTGTGAGTACTCGTGGAAAGTTTGGACTAGTTGTTACCCGTGGACATGGTGAGCTGTTTAGACTGCCTTACAAAAAGGAGTAAAAGACTGTTGAGTTTTAGAGGATGCAACCGAAGCATAAAATCAAAAATTATTCTTTTTGACCCACCTAGAATTGTTATGGATGCATGTTAAGAAAGCATAACAAAACAACTCTCAATGAAGCATGCCTCTTAGAGTCCGATACTTTGACGAAGCCTAAGAGTCTAAAATAAAACTCCCTAGTGGTGATATCCGCACATATGCTAATTGAATTAAGAGAAGAATAAAACCTAGTCCATGTTGGACTAAAAGTGGCAGGTCTCCCTTGCCCTTATTGCCGCGCAAACCTAGTCCCATGTGGACTAGGGTTCGGCCACAAGACTCATTTGGACTTAATTGTCGCTTTCGAATTCTTTTTGTCCTTAATTTTGAACAAATTTAAATTTAAATTAATTTTTTTCAATTGCTAATTTTTATTGTTTAAATTCTGACAACCAAAATCAAAAACCAAAAACCAAAAACTTGCCTAAAGAAATTTAAAAATTCCCAATTCCCTCAGGTGGCTATTCTCCGGCCTCTACTTGATGGTCAATTTTTCAATTAGCCATTATGTATCCATAATAGATTTAATATTTTAGAATAATTCTATCATTTCTAGATGTAGAAAATTAAAGTTTAAGGAAGCAAGCTCAGGAAACTGAGAGAGAGAGAGAGAGAGAGAAATAAAGCTTTATTAGTATCTGCTAAAAAAGATAAATTAGTAGAAAATTGAAGTAACAGAGGATTGAGATTGAAGAAGATTAAAGAAGAAATTGGAGACTTAGAGTTCAGGAAACAACTTAGAATGAGAGAATTAGAAGAATTTGAAAGAAAAGAAGTGGAGAGAAAGTAGAAACACTTCAAAAATAGGATCAAGGCAATGACATGCAAC